TGTTGACACAAATAATGCAGTTGAGCAAAGGCCTCGATGTTTATCGAATACTGTCAAGAATATTGGATAATTAGTGCTTAAGGGTGACAGGCAGGAGCTGCCCAATATATCTTGTCTTGGAGCTTCTGGCATTCTCTGTGTGGTCCCTGCACACCTCAGTGGCTCAGGTGCAAGAAGCCTAATAAGCTTCTCTCTCCTGACATCACACTCCATGGTGGGTAAAGACTCTTTGAACTCTCTGCGTTTAAGGCTTTTGGGGGAAGTTTTGGTGGCAGGAAGGAAGCCAGTAAGAAAATGTCAAAGCGTTTCCCATGCTTGGCATCTTTGGCAGTCCTTTTCCTGCTTGATCTCTGCGAAGCCTTTTCTAAGGAAATGATGCCTGTTTCCAGGACAGACACTGCAGTGATCTGGTGGCAGATAGCTCAAACTGCTCAGAGAACTCAAGAGTCAGGTCCCCCAAGCAAGTAACCCCAAACCATGCCGCTGTAATTTAAATGTCAGTATTGCACAGTAGCGATCAGTTCAGTTGCACTAGGCTTTGCATGTCTGTATGCTCAGAGACAGTTCTTGCCTAGGAGGGTTGGCAGGAGAAGAAAGCCCAAGGATGTAGAAAAAGGTCAATAAGCACTGATCCAGTGAGATGGCATGCCCCAAGATCACACACAGTCAGTGGGAGAGCAGGGCTCAGAGATTTACAGTCTGCTCATTTCCAGTCCTGCCCTTTTCCATGCTGACCCTGTGAATGACACCCTCTTGGTACCATGTTGACAGAGACTTCAAAGCCAAGTGTTAGTTTCCTGTCAATGGCTGAACCACATTTTCAGCATGTCCTTGAAGATCACTGATGGCTCCTGTCCCCTTCATCCACCCTGGTAGCAGTTCCCAATGGGGCTTAAGGGCCAGGAGGGAATATATTTAGGAGGTCAGCATCTTTAGGAGGTCAGCATCTTATGGATTCCCTCCAGCTCACTGGCCATCACACAGGTCTCCTTCTCACTAGCTGGCACCAACCAACAGCATTGCTCCTGCTGTTGTGCAGCACAGCAGGAGCAATGGGATAAGGTTTGTGTCTTTCACAAGACAAGGCAAGGGCAAAAATGTAGGATGAATCTTGCATTCTAGTGAGAATGGAGCTCCTGAAGTCCACTAAATTACTGGGAGGGACTGGGAGCAATGCTTAAAGGATATTTTCTCCTGGTCAATTCCTATCAGGGACAATCTGTGGAAATCCAGGAGAACCAATATAACTCCTGAGTGGTTTCCCACAGGAGTGGAGTAGGAATCCACTCCTTGCAAGCACCTCAATTTGATGAGAAACTTCAGTCTGCTAAGTGGTGACAGATTTTCCATCTGTAGGATAAGGATGACCTCTATAGACCCCATGAAAAATTTAGAAGAGAAACTTTTGTGTGTGCATGTGCTGCTCCTTGCAAAATTCCAAGATCTTCATAGCGAGAAAAGTTCAGAGCTCCACAAGATAGATAGCATTTGGAAAACACCATCTAAGAGTTGACATGAAATCTGGGCCTTACCTACCAAAACCCTTGTACTGTAGGATGAGGTTTGATTTCTATAAACAATGACTGCATTACTGGAAGTGCTGAAAAGGATATCTTCATTGCCATTAAATGAACATTGGTGTGTCAGATTCAAGTCAGCACCTGGGGGAGACCTTGGTCTTTCTGGACGCCTGGCAGGGTAGCCTGAGTCGTTCTGAATGGCACGAGATGCCTCTCTGTGAACTGAGACCTCGGTGACTGCACTGGAGCTGCATTACACCTGCAGAGCTTGCTCTGACTGGCATCAACTACATCCACTTTAGCTAAACTGAGATGAGCAGAGATCTTTGGAAAAGATCATGACATGTAAGAGAGACCTGCAAAGTAACTTGGTCACCGGCACCATGCGTGACCCCCATGGCACTCTCACAATACCTGGCCGAGCCTGTCAACCTTTAGCTCTGGAAGTGTGGGTTAGTGTGGGTGAGGTAGATTGAGTACTGACTGGATGGCAGAGCTGAGAGAGTTGTGATGCAGAGACTACTTGGAGTGCAGAGTCTAGTCAGTGGTGCAGAGTCTACTTGGAGACCTGTAGTTAGCGATGGTCCCTCAGGGGTTGGTCCTCAGTCCAGTCCTGTTCAATTTATTCATCAATGACCTGAATGCCGGGACAAAGTGCTGCCTCAGCAAGTTTGCTGTTGACACGGGGATCTAATCAGTGTATATAAATACCCTAAGGGAGGAAGTAAGGAGGATGGGGCCAGCCTCTTTTTGTGGTGGCCAGCGATAGGACAAGAGGAAGAGGCCACAAATTGAAGTACTGAAAGTTCTACAAGAACTTGAGGAAAATTTTCTTGATAGTGAGGGTGACAGAACACTGGAACAGGTTGTCAAGAGAGGTTGTCGAGCCTCCTTCTCTGGAGATCATCAAAACCTGCTTCAAAACTCGTGGTGACCCCGCGTGTACAGAGTGGTTGGAGTAGGTGATCTCTAAAGGTTCCCTCCGACCTTAATGATTCTATGATTGTAACCACCAGCTCATTCCCTACAGATGAGTAACAAGAAGGGGTCCACTAATAACCTCAACAATGGATGCATTTGAATGGTGCTCTGTGATCCTTTGAGATGAAAGATGCCACAGAACTCTAAATCAGTGCTGTTGTTATTATCTGAACTGATGCTCTTCAATACTCCTGGAAGTGAAATATAAATAACAGATTTATGATCTAATCAATATCTCACATTTATATCTCCCCTTTCATCCAAAAAGATCACAGAACTCTTTGTAAGCAATATCTTCACAAGTCCCTCTTAGCTGAGCATAACAGCACCAAAGGGAGCCTGGTGAGCCAATATATAATTATGCTGATATTATTCCACCCAGCTTCCAGCCACTTTGAGACCTCACTGTGTCTTAGTAGGTTAAGGTGTGGAGTGATGGAGAGTCCATCATCTATTGCGTACTACAGAAGGGAATTTATAGTCAAGGCAAAATTTGCCTAAGTCACCAAAAATAACATGCCTGCTCTTGTAAAAAGGCCGCAGGAACATTTAATAATGACACATATCCAGGAGCTCCACTGAACACTCCTTCCAAGCGTAAAGGTGTGCTAAGTTTATAAAAGTTTATAGATTTCACACTCCTCTATCCAGGAGAGACCAAAATGCTCAACGTACAGAGGGCTGTGAACTAGGGGGTTGGCTGCCATTAAAATATGCATGTGTATTTAAGGAATCCCTTCTCCCTTTCTACTCCATATGCTTTGCATTTTACTGTTGGACACAGTGTTTGGAACAGATATTGTTCTATTTCTGAGAAATCAGAGGCCTCTGGACTTGGGTCACTTTTCTTGTTCTATGTGCCAAAGCAAGAGGCTTTTTTAAAAAAAAAAAAATCCTTCATTTCAAATCAATAACATTCTTCTCAGGCAGAAGAGTCTCAGGCTGTCCCAGGACTCTGCATAAAATATTCAAAATTAAGGGTGAGAGATGCATGATAACTCTTTACCTGAATTTTCAAAGTCAGAGTGACAATGAAAGGACCTTACTGGATTTTACTGCCTTATCTGCTCTTTGTGGAGCAAGGAATAGATCAGAGATCAAGTAAAGTTTTGGAGATTCCTTTGGTTATCACTTCAGCTCCAACCAGAATCAGGGCTGATAGCATTTTTGATGGTTTCTATGAAGACTCACTGTTGTCTGATTTCATTTTTGGCTGAAGGCACCAGAACCTGAGGTGGTGTTCACAAACTTTTTGGTACTAAGTATTGCAAAAATGCCAAGGAGATAAGGCTCAAATCTGAGGGACTTTTCCCACAGTTATAGTAGCTTCGCCTCCCATAGACAAGTGATTGAGAGAGAAGATCAGAAAAACTCACACATTGCCCCCAGCTCAACGACTATAACATCTGAGAACCCCAAACTCCTAGCTAAAAGCCAAATCCCTCTTTCATTTAATCAATGGATGAGTTACCCTTAGTTCAGCTGGCACAGACTCTAAATGATGCTAAAGGTCTGCAGGGCAAGGGATTGAGGGCAAAGCAGGCATGGATGCATGCGGCAATCCCGTGTCTTTTCAGAACATATTTCACCTTATTTTACCCCGGATCCCTCCCAGCTCCATCCAGCTTACAGGACACAAGAAGTCGGCTGAGGAGGGCAGACCCCAGGGTTCTTGTGCTGTTCTGAAACGTACATCTGATCTCATTGCCTCCCTTCCCTTCTTTCAGGTCCTGAGCTGCGTCAATCCTGACAACGTGAACAGCCCTGAGATCCCAGTGAAGATCCTGAACTGTGACACCATCACTCAGGTCAAGGAGAAGATCCTGGATGCCATCTTCAAGAACGTGCCCTGCTCCCACCGGCCCAAAGCTGCTGATATGGATCTGGGTATGTGAGTGTGTGGTGGGCATTGAACACCTCTGGGAAGAGGGGGAGAGTGGAAATGGGAGTCCACCAGACACTGTCCAGCTATTGCAAGTGCCACTTTTCCAGATGGAGGTTGCTTCCAGTGCCTGTGCAAAGCAGAGCTGCAGTAATGTATTGATTGGACTGATGCATACAGTCCTGGCTAACGATAGCTCTACATCTCTGCCTTTGGGGTCTGCATGTTAGGAAAACCATCAGCCACCCACCAGCTTAAGCAACAGCAGTTCTGAGGCCTGCTGCTCTGGGGTTCCCTTTCTGCAGAGGGCTATGAGAGCTGCATTCACGTCTTAAGGAAGAGAAAAAATGAGTCCCTCTGTTTATCATTAGCCCTGCCCAAGAACATTATGAGATAACTTTATGAATTCATGTTTTTCTCTGTGGTCTGCTCCTTCATGCATTACTCAAGTTGCAGGCTACTGCATCTGTTTCATCATATTTCTTGCCAGTTAAGCTGTCAAGCTCTGGGGCATATGAGGAATTGTACCACCCATTACAAGGGTGCCTTTGAATCTAAAATAATGTGTTATTTTTCCCCAAAACTGAAATAAGGACAATGGGAAGAGTGAGGTGCCTGAAATTGGGTGCAGAGGCAAATCTGATACCACACCTGGAGGCTACTATGAAAGGATGCATAAAAAAAATTTACTTGGATTGGTATGGAGCGGTGGACTGTACTGTGCGAGGCAATTAGCCAGAATTTGCCTTTGATGACCTTCAGTGAAAGAGACTTGAGTGGAAAATGATGGGGTCTATAAAACCCTGTGAAGTAGAGGAGGAACCAAAAGGAAAAGGAATGGACAGATGCCAAGAAGCAATTCACAGCAATAATGGAGGCAGAAATGAGAGGTCAGGGATTAAAGTTAAGTGTGTATATGTGCGTGTGTTCATGTAGGGGGGAAGGGGACTCCTGACAGAAATTGCTGCAAGATTTTTGCTCATGAAAGGCAGTTAAAACAACGAAACAAGCTGCCAAAAGCAGAGTAATAAAGAACAAATTGTATACATCACTATGAAAGGACCGAAAGCATTTCTGGAGCTGCTGTGAGTCAGCAGAAGACTGGAGAGTGCAAGCATGAGACCAGAGACAGTAGAGGGTCAGGGCACAAGCAGTGGGGGAAGAGAGTTTATGGCTGGTTCCATTGGTATGTGCAGTGCTGGATGGTGGCCTAGGGCCACATTTGGACCTGAGGCTGAGTGTGGGTGGAAAGTGGTCTGCTGGCTATGGGGACCGAATGGTATACAAGCCCTGGCAGGAATTTCACCATTATGTCAGAAATGCGAGGGATGAGCTGGAGCCCACAGATGTTATTGTAGCTCTGATAATTTACATCAGGTTGTTTCTCCCTTCCCTATGAATTTTTCAGAGGTTCAATGACTTTTCCAACCTATGGACAGGCCTGGTGGGCTAGGCTACTCTGGATCTGATCCACATTCCCAGATACAGAAGAGCCTGACAATGAAGCAGCCAGGACTTTTACTGCTGCAAACCGTTTTGACCTGCTAAGTGGTGCTAGTGAGGTCCAGAAAGTATTCATAAACATGTGCATGGATTTTGTCCTTACTGACAGGAGACCATTTTATGAGCAGCTCTCTAGAAAATAGCCATGAGGGTGCAGTTGGGAAGAAAAAATAAAGCATCTTATTTATGATAGAGGCAAGAAAATTGCAGGCTTCCTTAGCAGAGCTGCCAACAAGGTGGGAGGAGTGTGACTGAGGTGGCTGAAGAAGGAATGAGTAGATGGGCATGTCTCACCACCTCTCGGCCCATCCTTTTTTGTCTGAAAAGGTGTTTTGGTGTATGGCATCCTTTGGTGGTGGTGAAGGAAGTGTGAGGAGAGCAGGAAGCTGCTGTCCCTCAGAAAGCAGCACAAAGGTCTCAGGGTCAACCTGCCCTGGGCAGCAAGAGCTGCTGGATCAGCTCAGCTAGTCCTTGCTAAGCAAGGGACAGAGCACACAATTGCAATCTGGCCTTGAAGTTGATGGTTTTCTAAACAGCAACAGCAACTATTACACTTTCTAGGCTTTCTGTACATGCTAAGGCCAGATTGCTCTCATGGAAGAAAGCAAAGAAACTAATGAGTTATTTTGAGTTGTTAAATGCAGGATAGCTGCAGGCAGAGTGACTTGTATGTGTCACGAATGTCATAATGTTTTGCAGTTACTCAGACGACTCATGGTGGGGGTTTTTGGCTGAAACCGCTTGTATTGGACACCCTGAGGTTACATTTTAGCCCCACATCCAGATTGCAGCACTCTGAGTAAAAGCTTATTTCTGCGGTGGCCATTTGTGTTATTATTATTTCATTTAAAGTCCTCATCATGAACAAAATGCCCCCTCTTTGGAAAAACATTAGGGCAGGAGGATCAGAAAACAGAAATTTGGCTTCGCACAGAGACCTCATTTCTGCCTGCTTTCGACTGCCTCCTGAAAGGGGCTGCTGGTTCAAGTGCCATGCACTGATTCTGCATCCCCTTTGGATGCAGCTCCCAGTGAGGGGAGTCACTGGAGCTGCCACACTGCGGAGGGCAATTCAACCTTTGGAAACTATTTAAATTGAATCAAATTCTAATATATATTCAATAAGGCAGATAACTTACCTATATATCATAAAATCTTTTCCAGGCACCTTCCATCTATGCATTTTGATAGGGACTTCTCTTTCTCCCTCCCAAACCACCATGGTCCTTTCTTTACCCTAGAAGCAGAGCAGAGCTGAGATTCTCCATTAATTTCCTACAGGTCATAATTTGCTGGCAACTTACCTGTTTTTCTTTGCTACCCATCTGGTTATACTGGAACCCGAAGCATACAGACAAAAGGGCTGTGGTTTTTTTTGCTTGTTTGTTTTGTTTTTCTTTTTTTTTTCGCATTTTTTCCTATTTCCTATGCCAATCAGTCTCTTACATGGAAGTTACTGGGAAACGGTAAAACACTTCTAGGAATGCAGGACTAAGAGCGGCCACCTGGCTCTTCAGACTAATCCTTCACAAGCTCAAGTGATCATGAAATAAATGTCGAGCCTGGGTAAGCCAGATGCATTTGTTTCACACGCCATTTCTGCACATAAGCAGCCACAGAAACATTTTGCAGCCCTTTATGGTGGTCTTAAGGCACCAGACAACCTTATTATGGTGGTCTGTAGGAAAAGGTTGGAAAACACAGCACAGCATGTAGGAATGACTAAAAAGGGTCATATGCATCATGACCTGGAAGTGCCTGTTAACGATAGGTTAACTGATGGCTACTAGCTCTGGTGAAGGCATCTGGAGGGAGGTGGAAGGACTTCCATCCACTTGGGTGTTCCAATTGTCTTGGGGAAAAAAAAATTCTCTCTGCTGCATTTTTGTCTCTTGTTCAATGGGCATGTTCAGGGTCACCTGGACCAAAGAGAAGGCATGCAGGAGGTGCAAGATTTTAAGTAGGATTCAAGCTGCAGGATGGCATATCCTTTGTACCAGTAGAGCTGTCCCCTAGCCAGGTATTGCCACAGCTTAAACAAGCCTCTCTTTGTCAATGGCCCCTGGAATTTACTTTTCCCCAGTCAAGCTGAACAGAAAGGTTGCTTCTAAAAGAAGAAAAAAAAAAAAGGAAGAAAAAAGAAGTAATTCCTGCGTGCAATAAAAAGATACACTATCAGCTGAATGAAATATAAAGGCTTCACAGCAGCTGTCTCCTGAGTTTGCATTTACCGCTGCTCCTGATTGGAAGGCTTGATAAAGATAATGGGATTTTTTTTTTTTTTTGCCTCCCTCCCCCCCTGTCTCTGGAAGGTGGAAGTGTAACAAATTGGATTGGAGTGTGCCTCTCCTTTGTGGCAGCACGGTGAGGAGCACACAGATCTGATGAGAGAGGGTACAGGGTGCTGCCAGGGAGGATGAAGTGAACAGATTTTCCCTTTGCACCATGAATACAGATGTCAGGGTCACCTTTCTGTCCTTTGCCCCTTCTTTTCTCCTCCTTCCCACAGCCTCTGTGTTTATTTGAGAGACCAGCGTGACCACCTGAACACTTACAGGGAAAGGGAGCATGCAGAACTCCTATAAAGCAAACCAGACAGAAAGAGCCCCGTGGGGAGATCACTAACCACACTGAGGACCTTGCCCAGTCACCACTCAGTTGTACAATGAAATAATTTATATTTGGTCAAGGGAAACAGGGTATAGCATTGGAGGCAAATGCATCTGCACCATGGGTAAAGCCCCTTGGCTTGCCCACGAGAGGGTCTTGTGTGGAGTCAGACTTGCAGTTCCCCACTGTTATAGATACTCAGTGGGGCACTTTGTAAGAGTATCATTCCCTAATCAAGCCCAGACTTCAGCATTTTGTGCTCTTCCAAGAAATATATGGGTCCAGTTAGCTTCTGAGAATCAATTTGAGGCAGGATAAACACAGATATCACAGGGATAATATAGACGAGGAACTAAGGAGCTGGAGCAAATGAAGGGCAGTTTAGGATCAGTGCTTCGCCACTGTAACCTTTACTTACACTCTGAGTATCTCCAGCCAAAGAAACACCCGGCAATAAACACAGCAGCTGACCTCTTCCTGCTAATTTGAATGAATAATAAAGGCAAGGGCGACTTTCCCAATACATTTTAATTATGTGATAAGAAAACTGCTGAAACCAAAAGAAATTTGCAACGGTCCTTGCATTTTTATATTAGGAGCAATAAGCAGGGGTGGCAGGTGATGTCTCCATATCCAAGAGTTCATTTTAATTAACTCCAGCAAATGAATAGACTTTCTGCTTGGACTGTGGCTGGGTCATTGTGACAGAGTCATGACCACCGATAAGAAGCTTTAGATGGGTCAGATTGCCTCTGACTAAGCCACAGTGATATTACATTTCTCTCTTTTGTCCATGTTTATGCATTCCTTGCCTACAGGCAAGTCCAGGAGACCTCTGTGAGGAAAGCAATGCCAGTCCTCCTGGAACGAAGGGCTTCATCCCCATGGCATCCCTAGGGCAGGCTGGTCTTGGAACCTCCACATTGCAATAACAGAGCAAGAGGGTGAACTAAGAGTTAAACACTGTGAATAACCAGATTGCTCAAGTCTTGGGGTCTTGTTCTGTTCAGCTCTGTGATCCACTCCTCGTTTTATTTGTTTATTTATCTGTTACCTTTCCACTGTGCATCTAATGCCAAACTCATCATGTCTGCAGACAGCTGCCATATGTTCTGATCTCAACATGGTTCAATGTCATTCTTGAGAGGAGTGTGTGTTTCCAGTGCAAAAAGCATTTTTGTAAAAATAATATTTTATTCAGTGCAAACAAACAAGTTTGGATAATGTAGGACTTGACTCAGGGCTTTGACACAGAGCTGTGATTTTTGCATACCTTCCTGAACCACCTTACTTACTTCATCTTTCCCTTTTTGCCCTGTCATGGGCTTTAGACATGTGTGCATTGTATGGTGTACATGGTTGGAGGCACCTGTCAGACCATAATGATAATGATTGAGACATGCTGCTTCACACATATGTAGCCTGCACATGTGTGAGGCACATGAGTTATGGCCACAGACCTCCATACCCTTCTCTCAGAGTGAAATGTGTCATTTCTCCTTGCAGAGTGGAGGCAGGCAAGTGGGGCAAGGATGATCCTTCAGGATGAAGACATCACAACCAAGATAGAGAATGACTGGAAGAGACTCAACACGCTGGCCCACTATCAGGTAATGTGACCACAGTCCCTCTGCCAGAGGTCCAGGATGACTTACCCATCGCTGTTGTTGTGTGTTCTTCCATCAGGGAGGTACTGATCTCCAGCCAGCTCATCCAGTACTTTCTCAAAGGCCACACTGCTTTCCCAGGGACACAGCTTTACCCAACATATATTTCCCACCATTGTCCCTTGCCTGGTGCAGCTCTGTCACTTGGTGACTTCTTTATGGCACCACAAGAATGTCCTGCATGTGACTACAGTCTACAGAAGCTGTATCATGATAAGCCAGAGCAAAACTCATCTCAGACACTGAATTAAAACAGTGTCCCATCATGCTTCCCCCTTTCCTCGCTCAGGTCTGTGGGAGAGGATGGGAAGAAGGTAGCTCAGCCAAAGAAGCTAGAAGGAGATGGATACAGTGCTGTTCTCTAAGATTCAACAATAACAACAGATGAGTGAGTAATAGCTAAGCAGAGCCCTTGTATTTAGTGCATCCATCCTGCCCACAGGCCTGATAGGAATCATCCCAAAAATAAGTCCTAGAAAAATCCTAGAAATTAGTCCAAAGGAAGAAAAAAAAACTTCTGTCTCTTCCAAAGGAGAGCAGCAGCCCTGGGGAGTTAAGGATATGAAAGGGAGTTGAGGTCAACATGAGGACAACATAAGTCAACATCTATCTTGTTGACAAACAGAAAACAAGCCCTTCCCTCTCCTTTTCTCCAGTGCATCCAAGTTTCTATTTTTTACTTTTTTTTCCCCCTTTTTTAAATGTTATCGGAGTGCAAAAGGGTAGTTGGAAGAAAAAATGTAAGGAAAGGGGTTTATTATTTGGAAGAAGGAGGAGGGAAGGAACATCACTGGAGGCAGCGTGGTGCAACAGAGTGGTCACTGACCTGGAACCCTTGGTTTTAATCCATACCCTGATCTGAGTGACCTGCCTTGTGTGGGACTTTCCTTCATCTCTACATTACCCTGAGATCCATAAAACAGAACAAAAGATGTTTAAAAATGTCGTACAGAAGTAAGTGGTAGTTTCCTGAAAATTTGAATTTTGGTGAAAAGCTCCCACTATTCATCCTCTCCTCCACTTGCCAAAAAAGCATCATCAATTTAATCTGAAGCTGACAATTTTGTTGTTTCCTCAGAAATCTGTACTTCATAACAAGTTTTTTTGTTGGTGGTGGTGGTTTTTTTTTTCCATTTAATAACTGACCTGAGGAAGCAGAGGAGGTAATTTGAAAAGGAAACAAAATTTTTCACTGGAGATTGACTGAAACATTGCTGGCTGACTCCAGAAGATTCATGGAGGGGAGGGGAGCACACTTATGTTTTATTTCAACAAAACAAGGGCATATTTTTCACTTCCTTCTTGACATTTTCCAGTTGTTTACTTCCAGCAAGTTGCTCCCAGCTCTGCTGATGAGCAAAGGCAGAACAGATTCTCATCTGCCAGGGTGCTGAACTCTACATTACTTATCCTGGTGGTTGTGAGGGCTGAAAGGAAACATGCCAGGACAGTCAATGATATTGGCCATGCCTCAGTTTCCCCATCTGTAGTGTGGGTATAAAACTACAAAGTGTCAATAATTGCCTTCTGTGATTGCTGAGAGGCTATTTAATTAGCCTCTTCAATGCTTTGAAGATCAAAAACTCTGCACAAGTGCTAATTATTATTACACAGACAAGAGATAGAAGTTGTTAACAGGTTCTCTTTTCACCTATCTCCTTTTTATAATGTCTTATTTATCACAGATATTCCTGATACGGCTCCTCTGAGCCACTGACTTGTTAACATTTGCAATACGGGATTCACGTGAATCTCTTAGATGTAGAAAAAAAAAGCCTAGCTCATTTCAGAAAGTTCCATTATCTATTGAAATACTCTCCCATGGCACTCTGGAGCACTGCCATGCCTGCCCTACTCCTGTCCCCAGCTGAGACCCCCTGATGCAGCAAGGAGGAAGATGCTGCAGTGGTCAACTCTCTCCAAGCAGTATATTTGTCACCTGGAAAGAGATGACTGTACATGGAAAGGTTGGCAGGATCAGTGAAACTGAAAAATGTAGATACCAACACACAAACTGGCTACCTAGACACTACCTGCAACTGGGTTAGAGGCAACAGAAAGTGTCACAGCAGCTTTTCCCATCCTTATGGGACTTCCCATCCTTGATGTTTGAAGTAGCTCAGAAGACTTACTCCCCCTAAATGTTTATTTCTCTCTACTTAAGCCGACTAGCACAAGGCATATGCGTTGTTTATACCTTGTATATACAGCTGTATACATTGCATCTATTTTAAGGTAAAAGAGGTGAACCCCAGAACTAATTTCTATTGCCATGAAATGAGATTCCAAATCCAAATTCCTTAAGCAGCTCGGGAAAAAAAAAAGTCCTCTGTCCTTGAAAACAACCCCTGTTTAGCTGAAATTTGAGCTATTATGGAAGGCTCCCTTCTCATGTCTTGATTATCAAACATACTTCTAGGGAAAGACTGAAAGCTCTACTTATAGCCAGATCATGCAAAAATAACTTGCATGGAAAAAATCCTCTTATTTGAGGGCTGAAATTGTATTAGAAAAGCTTGAGAGATCTGAGAACCTAGGAAAACAGCCCACACACTCTGATGATTCTTGGTCTAGAAACTTTAGCCAACTTTCAGATCTCATCTAGAAATTCTGCATTGTGGCTTACAGAATTTGGGATTTATTTATTTATTTATTTATAGTGATATTCCTGGCCTTCCGTCAGCTGAGCTCCCAGATAAATTGACATTTCCAGTCTGTCTTAAACTCATATTGTGGTTACATGTTACCCTAGACACTTTACAGTATGGAAGATAAGTTTTTTTATGATATTTTTGACCCCTATCCTACAGACCATTAGAGTTACTTCATGAAAAAACTAATCTAAGTCTTGCTGAGGTCAATGGAAAGATTCCTTTATCTTCATTGGGCTTTGTTTCGTAGGCCAGAGTATGCTTTGTCATCAGTTGACCTATTGACCTACAGGTTTCTAATGATATCACTGGAGGTTTTTGTCTCTCTCTCCTTTTTTTTTTTTTTGGTCAATAGACTCACTGAAGAACAATTCTTATGCTTTGAGCCAAAATTACTGCTCAGACTTCAGTGACACTGATTTATGATTCAGGTTTTGCTGCTTGAATTCCTGCTTTTCCTGCTGCTCTTGGTGTGCTCCTCAGTCAGTTCTTAGAAATGTACTGACAAAGTCCATTTTTGTCTGCAGGTACCAGATGGATCTGTGGTAGCTTTGGTCTCCAAGCAAGTCACTGCCTACAATGCAGTCAACAACTCCACAGTCTCACGGACTTCAGCCAGCAAATATGGTAAGGACCCGTGTGCTGACACAGGCTGAGAGAGCAATGGAGGAGAGATTCCAAACATCCTGCTGGTTACAAAACATTGAGTACCAGCAAAGAGAATGATAGGCAGATGACTAGTTAGCATGAAAGCCTGGAGAACTGGAGGAGGAGAGGATTTAGCCATATACAACTCTGGCATCTGATCTATGCTGTTGATCCAATATCTGAGTTGCTCTTTGGAAGTACCTCTCCTTCCTCTTGGTGAAGTCATTCTTGTTGGCAAAGACCTTGGAACATGGTCTGTGATGAAGACAAATCTGTGGCGCAAATAAGAAGATGCTGGACTAAGGCAGCACAACTTAGATGACAGAGCCTGGTCTGGAACTATACCTTATGATGTGGATGCTATGTGCCTCACCCAGTTATAATACTATCTCCGGGGAACTTGCACCTGGAGTAAATAAATAAATAAATAAATAGAGGTCTTATATCAGCATATCTCAAAGCAGTGCACCGTTTTTCACATTTTACCCCTGAGACAACTGAGACTGAGACAGCTGTGAAGCAAAGACCAGGCAGAAATTCTTCTGCAGAACCAGACACAGATCTCCTGAGTCTCACTCGCACCATCACATACCCTTCTCAACAGGCCATGATGTGTCTCACTGTGACAATATGGGAGGGCAAATAAAAAAGTAACCCTCTAATCTGCAACCAGAGACTGTTGCAAAAGCATCCCCCATTCCAGGCCCAGCTGTCATATTTCCTTATTATTACTATTATATTATTATGGTTGTTTTAAATGCCTGACAGCATCTCTTATCCTTCCCTTTTTCTTTTAGCTTGAGGGAAAGTACAGTTACTCAATATCTGGAGGAGTCGCCTTTCTCTTTCTCCAAGGACATGAGCAATCCACCAAATCTTATTCATATGCGTCCTCTTTGCCATGTCGTTGCAATTAATGAAAGACACAGTGACCTTTGGAAAGGAAGACTTGGTGGGGGGGTTAATTTCTGCTGGATTTCTTTTTTTTTTTGTCATTTCATTTTTCAGGAGGAGGGTATGGGAAAGAATGCAGAGCGGGGAAAAGATGTGGTGGGTCAGAAGTGGTTGTTAATTGCAATTAAGGGAACAGCATCCACAGAGAAAAAGGATATTCCAACTGATAATTAATATGTAGAGATTGCTAATGTAGCAATGAGGCTGATTCAGATCTTGCTACAAAAAGGTGCAACACTTGTGTTATTTGTGGTTGCAAAAGGCTCAATCTACAGCATTAGTGGAAGGTCAGGGGGAGAGGAATGCCACGTGCCATCAGTTTGAGGCAGACAGAAATGAAATTTGGGGTATAAAGCTGTCCTTGAAGACAAAATGTATGTCAGTCCTACTGGGGATCTGGTCTGTTTTTTTTTTTTTTTTTTTTTTTTTGTCAAGAGCTTAACAAAAACAAGGCTTTGGAGCAGGGAGCGAAAGGGATGGCTGGTGAGAGGCACAGATTTGCGCTGAGGCAAGAGTAGGAAGGAGGGACATCTCCTAGGTCTAGGACTGGAAGCAGTAAAGTCCAACTTGAATTTGATGATACTGAATAAATTTAAGCAGGATAAGTTATTACACAGACAGGTCCATGGTCTGTTCTCTGACCATGAGACTGAGCAGAAAAGATTGATATGGGTCACATATCTATGGCTAAGACTAACAAGACTAATTAGCCCATAATGGCTACCATGTACTGTTCATACTGTCCCCTGAACTGTCCCCGCCTGGCAGTGATAGAGCTAGTTGTCCCAGGCCAAAGCTCTGTCAGGGATCATGGTAACAGTTAAACATCATGGACAATTGAAGGTCAGTGTTTGGTCTTGTGCAATTTTTTAGTTTAGACATAATCATCACGTCCTGCTTGGCTGGCCTCCCTTATGTTTGTTGAGCAAAACGCTCAGTCAGAAGGTAGTGCTTTGATAGTAAGGCCTGGTCCATAAAGCTGCTTTGATGTCTTCTCTGTCTCACACAACAGTTTTTCTATGGAGATGTACTTGCATTGCTCAAGATGATGAAGTTTTACTTAATGCTAATATGGAAATGCAGAACTTATGAGAGGATGCATACTGGAGTACTGCCGTGGTCCTCCTGTTCTGGAGACCCAAGCTAAAATCTCCCCAGAATGTTATCCTGTGTGGCCATGACACCTGCATCTATGTCATGCAATGGACATGCTGAAGACATGCCTAAGGCCTCAGGTCTAGCTCTGGTTGTCTTAGCCATACACCAGAATCTGTGCATGCATCCAGTGCATAGACTGAATGGGAGGGAGATCTGCAGCCAGCACTGAGCCCAGAGAGAGGAAAGGGGTTGAATTCTTGCCTGTCTGATGAAAAACATTAGTTAGGAAAAATGTCGTTAGTATATTTCTGTGGTGAAACCTGCTGATCCCAATGCAATTGCTAATAAGGCTGAGACACATGCATCTGTTTTGCAGAGAACATGATCCGTTACACAGGCAGTCCAGACAGCCTCCGTTCTCGGACACCAATGATCACCCCTGACCTCGAGAGTGGAGTCAAGATGTGGCACTTAGTGAAGAACCATGAGCATGGTGACCAAAAGGAGGGTGACCGGGGCAGCAAGATGGTTTCTGAGATCTACCTGACAAGGCTACTTGCCACCAAGGTACATGACATTGGGGTGGGGGGACAGAAATGTGCTTTTAAAGGCTGAGGGGATTTGGAGAGCAACAAAGAGTGAAGAACCCAGGCCCATGAGTCTGGTGGAGAGAGTCTGTGAAGCAGTTGGTGTGTGCTGGGTTTGTGGATTTTGTAGGATTGTAGTTTGTCCCAAAAGGAGCAAACAAAGAGCTAGGGAGTGAACATGCCCTTATCAGTCTCCAAGAATACATCAAACAACACCTTGCCCTTTGAAATGGAAGCCCATCCCACAAAATCCTGGGTGAGTATGTGTCCTTCTTCTCTGGGCCCATAAAGATCTAGTTCTCATAATGGAGTCTCATGTTGATGATTTGTCAGGGGGATTAGTTAGCTATAGTGAGGTTAATAGATGACCAGCTCCAGAGGGAGCACGTGGAGTTAGACATGCATCCACGTTCAAGTATGGAGAGCTCAGAGACTCCTAAGGGAAAATAGAGGTCAAACATTGATCTTCTCTGCAGATTCAGTTTCTTCTGTTTGGGATGTTCTGGCTGGTTATGCTCTTCCAAAGCAATATTTACTGAGTGTTAGAAAGTTGGTAAGCTCCCATCTAGTCAATTCATATCCCCATAAATGCTGGCAACCAGCTTTCTATATGGAGGAAAGCACTGTGGCTCACAGGTCTGTAAATTAGTGCAGCCAACTTCTGACCTGCAAAAGGCACGAGAAGTGACTTTACTCTCCCACTCTCTGCAAAGCTGCATCTCACTGTCCCTCAGCCTCACTCTGTTATTTACCTGGGATGGGAGTAGCTGGCGCTCTCGGCAGCTGGCTGGCTCAGGGACTGGCAAAAGACCTCAGGCCTTTCAACTTCTCTGACCAACATTGTCCTCCGCATAACTTTTACACAATGTGGGCAAAGGATTGTCTGAGCTTACACTTGTTTGCTTTTCCACCCTGTCAACCCCATCTTGGTGGTGGTCTCCTTGTATAGATGCCCATGTACTAATGAAGAGGCTGCAATGCTCTCTTTTTCTGCACTCCACAGAGACCAAGGCAAGCAGAGAGGCAGGCTGCAAAACCAGAGACAGGCTCCCTTGGCAATTCTTGCTTCTCTGCCCCAGCATCCATCTAACACATAAATTATCTTGGTGCATTCCCCAAGCGGGAATTGCTGGGTAGCTGTGGCTCAGGTGTGGCTAATCATGATATTATTTCACCCTCTTCTGAGCAGGGTTAAACCAAGCAGTGATCAAGAGGACCAATCTTCCTTCCCCTAGCTGAAGTTTTGATGATTATGAATTCCTGTCAGGGCATCAAAAGACACCAAAACAATTATGTGCATTTGTGCAAGTACCCTCTGAGTTCACCCTTCAGATAGGCCTCCATCATGTGCTTAAGTACTACCATGCAGTTTTATCTGCACATTTTTTTCCTCAACTCTTTTCACTGGCAGTTTCTGACTCCCGGCACACAAGGGCTGTCTCTCTCCGGCTGTCCCTGCTGCAGCGGGATTCAGATTTGAAGCAACTCTGTCTTTAGGTTTTGGAATATGCTCAACTCCATGACCTCAAGATACTTTAATGGATCACGCAACATCAAAAGAAAATGATGCTCCTCAGGGACCGGACTCCAGCTGGTGTAAAGCAGCGATCATTGGACCAGTGCCGACTTGCACTGTCTAGGGATGCCTCCCTTACCCCACCACTGAATCACTTCTGCTTACTGTTCAGGTCATGAACTGAACTCTTGCCTTTTGTGAGCACAGTAGGAAAGCATCTGTGAAGCTTACAGCAGCACAGATTGCATAAAACCTGGGAGTTTGCTGTTTCACTAAGAAATTTCCTTTCCCCATAATGCCCATTTGAAGGAGAGAAAGAGGAGAGATACCAATTGCTGGTCATATAAACCTAGGGAATACTTAAAGCGACAATGATTTTTATTTTGACCTCTGAGGCCTGAAATCTGCTGTCTAAAAGCCTCGGAGGCTTCCTTGGTGTGTGTGGGGTGAGCATGTAGAGAACTAATCCCTTCCAGAAACTGAAGCCGAGGGCAGCTCTTCCACATCAGACCAACAAGACTTCCCCTCCAGGGCCCTTTCCGAGTCAGATATTTGCTGCATGTTTCTGTTCACCCAGCAGGAGTTCACACAAGCAAACGGTACCTCTGTTTTCTTTCAAAGAATAAATCAAATGGTGAATCAGCAAGAGATGCCAGCCTTCTAATTAAGCATTTGTTAGTCCTATGTAAACTCAAGCCACTCTGGTGGTGGAACCCGGCTTTTGGTTTCTAGTAAGAAGAATTTTTTTTTTTCTGGATCCGCAGAGAAAGATTAGTGTTTTCATCTGAGGAAATGGAACATTTGTTGGATATTTGATTCTTAAAATTATATATTTTTAGTATTCCTGAGGTTTATTCACATATAAATGTGTGTGCAATTCTGGTGGCAAAGCAGAGTTACTAATATGGGCTGGAACTCCCAGTTTGGAGGTGAAGTCCTTGCCTGGTTACCCCCAAAACTCAACCTGCAGCTCATCTTTATATCACAGTTGCTTGACTCCCTCTTTCTCCAGATCTAGCCACCCTCTGCTCTTCCAGTTCTCAACCTTCTCCCTGTCCTCCAGCTGGTCAAGAGTGGTTCTCCAAACACAAAGTCTGGGATTTTCCTCTGAGAGGTGCATGAGGAGACCCCTGCAATCTCTGCAGGAGACATGACTGAGGTCTGCAGAGGGGTCCTGACCCTTTCATGCATTGCTTCTAGGGCTACCCAAACCCATTGCAATGGATAATAATAATAATAAAAAAAAATAGAAGACCTCTTAATTTTTAAATTCTTGGTGCTTGCTTAATTATTCACTCACACAAAATAGACTTCTCTCTCCAGGGACTTGTGTCCCATTCCTTCCTGTGACACCTGCTGCCCTGCTCTGCAGACGTCTGTTTTTAACACGAGCTTAAGAAGTGGCCCTGGATGAAAGTCAGTGTGGAAATTTTCTGGTTTGTGCTCATATATCCACCAGGTCAGTTGTGGATAAGCTGCAGAGTAGAGGAATCTCACTGTGAACAGATCAAGCCCTTCCCGTCACTATATACCTGCAATGGGACAAGATTTCATGATGCAGATCAACCATCCATCCTGGCAGGGAGTACTTAAAATGGAGAGAAATAGAGTTAGCAACCTTGGCCTGCTCTGTTTCACCTGCTAAGCCAGTATAACAGACATTATGAAAGCATGTATGTCTATTCAAAACATCTGGGTTGAAATTTCCAGCTCATGTCACACTTAGCAGCTGTTAGATGACTCTTGCTTTCCAATCACACGTTTGCTGAGCCCAGGTCTCAGACACACTCCATTTGCCATAGAACATGGAAATGTGACATCCTGTTGTATCTCATGCTCTTCTTCCCTCAACAGGGCACCCTCCAGAAATTTGTAGACGACCTCTTTGAAACCATCTTCAGCACTGCTCACCGTGGCAGTGCCCTCCCGCTGGCTATCAAATACATGTTTGATTTCCTGGATGAGCAGGCTGACAAGCACAACATCCATGACCCTCACGTGCGGCACACCTGGAAGAGCAATTGGTGAGTAAGACACAGAGAACAAGGTCCTGGGCCAGAAGGACAGGAAAGGGATACATAATATGGGATTCAGGAGGTGAGGAGTGGGGTTATGCACTTGGTTTTCCTGATCCTGAAGTCAGATACACCTGGAATATAGAGGAGGCTCTCAAGGGTGGAGTGCTTTGCCTCTAGGACTCAGTTTTCCCTGCGTAAAATAGGAATGGTGGTATTTCTTGGAGATCTCATGAGAATGCAGAAGCAAAGGCTATGAAGTATTTAAGTGCTATAGGCGCATAGGAATAGCTGGGAAGGTGTGAGAGAAGTTCAGTGCCACTCTCTTCCCCTGAAATGGGTATTTGAGCTCCCTGTATAATCAGTGGGGGCCTGAGACTCTATTTGACTGCCCACATGTAGCATCTGATGCCATTTGAGATGTTTTATGGTGTCCCATCAGGCACTGTGCAGGACCCACAGGACACTTGTAGCCTCACCAGGTAGCAGCTGGAGGCCAGGAGAAATCCCCTGGAGCATCTGAAGTGGTACCAAGCACTTACAGAGCCTGCAGCTGGATCTCAGTCCCCTTTGGAGTGAGTGGCAGAGGCTGACATGTCATGGGACACCGGCAGAAAGCCACCATCAGCAGAGAGAAAAGAGCTCTGCAGTTCCTCTCTGCTGAGTCTCCCTGTTGGAAAGAGTCCCCTGGGGAATCACTCCCTCCCCTTTTTTTCCTGTGTAAATACTGGGACTATAAAAGGAACAAGGGAGGAGAGCCATGGGGCTCCCAGTTCATGCATTTTTTTTCCTTTTACCAGCCATGCTGTTGGCAGATCATCGCAGCGCGGTGACATAAAAAAAGAAACCCCATGCACCAAAGAGCCTTTCAACTAATGAAACATTAGCATATTATTAACATTATCTGCGGCACTAATCTAAGGCTGATTGCAGCCACTCAGACTAAATGAGCAGGAGGTTTATTTAAGGGGGGAGAGAGAAGGCAGCATGTGTGTGTGCGTGTGTGTGTGTGTGAAAAGGGGCAGTATGAAGAAATTTGTTCAATCAGATTGAATTAACTCCAAGTCACATCATGGACTTCATTATTCCCAGCTAGGGACACCGTCTCCCCAGCACACAGGCAGGCACTCTGTGCTCCTCACTGTGGCTGTTTATCTGCTGAACAACTGCAGAGGGAAGATGCTTTGCGAGGTTCATGCATCCAGCTCTTGCCTGTGGTAGATGAATTTCCCATTCCCAGCACAAAATGCTTATCTCCCACAACTCTATCAGGTCTCGTCGCCAGCATCTCCTATGCTTGAACTTCTGCCCTCTTCCTGAGGGAGCTTATTCAGCTGATAGGATTACCCTTGGGAGGTTTCCTGGCTTTAGGTCCATGATTTTTATGGCTCGGGAAAAGACATGGTGGTTTGAGTGAATATGGTGTCATCCCTCTGTAGGGACCTTCTAAACAGCCTGCTGTTACCTGAAAGACAACAGACTTGGATATTAATTACTTAAAATGAATATATGAGGATAACAAGGATAAAAAAGAAGGACTTTGGACCAGGGAAGATTAGCTTGAAAAACAGGTGGATTTGTTAGGCTGTAGATCAACCTCCCCTCAGGAGGGTGTACTGAAGGTAGACCTTAAAAATCTACCTGAGAGGAAGATGGAAAGACAACAGTTTGATGCTGTGATCAGTGACACATCTCAGCTCCCAGGCCTTGACCATATGAATGCATTTGCTCTGACACAAAAAAAGCTTGAGGCAAAGCTGGAGGTGGATACCTCGGGGCATCACACAAATGAACGGTTCTTTTGAGAAAAAAAAAAAAAAAGAAAAAGAAAAGGCTTTGGATTACAAGTGCAGTAGTATTTTCTTGACTAGGTCAGATTAATTTTCATTTCAAAGGTTGCAACACTTGTTCCTCTTTTTTATTTTTTTCCCTTCCATTGTTTTCCCCTTGGGGAAAGAGAATTTTTCATAGGATATGCCCTCAGTGTGCCCCAGATCTCTGTTTTCCGAAGACTGCTTCATGCCCAGTGTGCTGGGATCATAGACTGGCTCCAACTTGAGGGGCAAGCACATCAAGTACAACAGCACATGATGCCCACAGTACACAGCGCCACTAATATTCCTAGATAGCTTAGATCTGGACATACCTTTCTATCCATGAGGTTACTGTGAGATACTTTTAAAAGCCAAGTCTACCACCGACTAGTGTTTTATCATGAGTTGCATAAATGCCATGCCCATCCTCCCCGATGAACCAGTCAGTAGTAGCTAACTTTACATTGCAGTCCAACCTAAAAAAAAAAAGTTGGAGCTGTTTTAATCACCAAAATTATAATGTTATTAGTTTAAGTGTCACTTCCTGAAGGAATAAGATGGCATTAAGAGTGACAGAATCTGTCTTATAAGAGTCACAGGGACAAAAGCTACTCCTGATGTGACTTGACTGCCATTCCTAGAACTCTGCTGGGGAGGAATTTGTTGTGTGTCAATGACAGAGCTTAGACTTGTCCCAGAAGTCCTATCTCTACACTATAATCTTTGATATCTGTCCATCAGTTAGGCAAAGTCTGCAAACTGTGCACTGATCCACCTCTTCCACCCTCCTATTCCTCTTGCAGCTTGCCACTAAGGTTCTGGGTTAACATGATCAAGAACCCACAGTTCGTCTTTGACATCCACAAGAACAGTATCACAGATGCCTGCCTCTCCGTAGTGGCTCAGACCTTCATGGACTCCTGTTCAACCTCAGAGCATCGTCTGGGCAAAGACTCGCCCTCCAACAAGCTCCTCTATGCCAAGGACATCCCCAGCTACAAGAACTGGGTGGAAAGGTGAGTTTTTGGCTCTGGAAAAAAAGGAATACCATAAGCAAGTGATATACTGAAGTCCTCCTTCACTGATTGAGGTAGGATGCAACCTTAGTATTGTTTTTGGTAGCTGCTTCCTTTTTTGTTTTGTTTTGCTTTGTTTTTGCCTTGTTTTTGTTTGCCTTTTTTTTTTTTTTTCTTATCTCTGGCAACCGCCTGATTAGAAAGCTCCATGTTAGCCTTTTATTCCCATAAGCCTTAAAGCAGAGATGAAAATTTAATTAGAGGTGTGAACTGAAGGTGTTTGTTGTTGTTGTTTGTCTTGAGGGGAAAGTGTTGAGAAGATAGAGAGGGAGGAAGAGAGAGAGAGGGAAGTGACCGTGTCTGAGCTCTGTCAAGTACATGGGCTTCTGAGTCTTTCCACATAGATGGGAAGTGGTTCACTCAGCACCGCTATAGCAGTCCCTACCATTGCCTAGATCCCAGGATTCACACAGTTATTGTCCCTTATTCGGAATCCAATAGCTTGATATGGAGTTTATTCTGTTCCTTGTGTGAGACTTCACAGATGGGATATTTTGGTGATGAAAGATCTCCAGACACTTTCTGAAAAGGCAGAGGGTTTTCCAGGCATTTGCATTTCCAGTTGCAAGACATGTAGCTTTAAGGACTGGACAGTTTGATTTTGTTGCGCTGTCAAACCAATAGGTTTATCCATGTATGCCTAAAGGACAGACAACCAAAACAACTATTTCTGCAGGATGTAAGGTGTTAAATTTCTCTAAGATTTTCTTCAGGATCAGCAATAGTGCACCTTGCACTCCCTTCAGTGGCAACTTTCTTGCTGGAGCAAGACTTGCAGATTTTCATCTGTGCTTCGTTTTCCAATCAGCCATACTCATCTAGTATTATTGACAGTATTATCTGGATAGAATTATTTGGAAACAGTGTGGGTGGAGAATAATAGTTACCCTGCAAATACAGTCATGGGGTTATCCTACAGACCATTCCTGTAAAATGATAATCCAGTTTTAAACAACGGTTTATTGAATGGTTCAATAAGCACCCTCCAGAACTGATGCCACACTGGTAGTTATATGGGATGTCTGCTACTTCAGTCATACCACACTGTAAACCAGAGTATTGCTTTTGGTGGGGATGGTCCTCTCTCATTTTGTGAAAACAGAGCATAGATGAGGAAAGAGTTCTGTATGCTAGTCTGTATGAGGTGATAGTTTTTTTACGATAAAGCTTCCCTTAGCCTCTGACTTGTCCGGACCATTATTTTTGGATATAGTTAAACACTTTTGCAAATGTCGTTTCTAGGCAACCTGTAAGGCTCTTATGAGCTACCTTGCTTAATTATGACCTACTTCTGGCACTGTGTCCACGTTCCTGAATACGTATGAAAATTGGTTGCTGGATCAATCTAGTAAGGGGGAGGAAGGTGTAAGAGATTTATTTATAAATCATAAGTGTCAGTTTACAGTGACCCAAAGGTGTCATACTCTGGTGACTCCAGTAACCTTATGTGTGGTTGGCTTCTTTAGATAAATACCCTATTTTGTGTATGCCTCTGGTTAATTTTTATCCATCTAGATGTTACATTTGTGGGATGAACTGAATTACGTGGGTGGAAAGCAGGAGATATCCTCATGCAACACCTTTTCTCTGGGTAAACAGAGGGATGAAATCCCAAGATTTTTTCCAGTATTGATTTCGCTTTTGGAGCTCAACCCTGTTGCCCAGTAACCCTCAGTAATAGGGGCTGCATTTCCCTGGAGTTTTCCTGAATAAGTGGGTTTGAAAAAGAGGTGAATAACACCTTCAGCTTCTGGTTAACAGCACTGATTTTCTGAGCCCAGCATGCGCTGGGCTGCTATCTGTACTAATATATGAAAACTTTAACTGAAGCCCAAAGGGAGGCTGTGGGTTTTGGAATATAATTAGAGTTTCTGACCTGTTAATAATTCTGTGAAAGACAAGGGTTTACTTCAGGTCTTTGTGGTCTACCTGAAAGGAGAATGCCTATCAATTCCCCTGTCTCAATGCAGTAGCACCTGGATGCTATGGTAGATCAAAAGAAAAGATATCAAGGATGAATAGGACGTAATTTCAATTCTACTCTGAACTAATTAATTCATTTTCTCTATTCTACAAATGCATATTGAGGTGGTTACTTCAGCTCCAATGGCTTCAAGTATTGTTTGGAGCTATTCCTGTAGCCAGCATCGGTTGGAGACAACATCGCTCAAGACCACAGGATTTCTTCAAAGAGCAAATCCTAAGATAAAAAGATTTTCTGTCAGAGAGTTTAAGAAGTGGTTCAGTAAATCAGAAGAACCTGAAATAAAACGAACTTCTTTGATGAAGAAAATCTATAAAAGAGGATGATTAGACAATAGTAGATTGTTACCCTACTCAAAGGCACTGTGGAATAAGAGGAGGCTCCTCTCTTTCAGTGAATCTGTTGAAATGTTAACTGGACTGGTCCCCTCCAAGCCTCCTCTCTGCAATTTCTGATTTCTCACTGTGATATATGCCTTCAAGACCCACAAACTCAAGGCAGGGAATTTTCTTGACACCAGAAGTATTAGAGAAGGTAGAAGCAGTGAGTGAAAGCATGCACCTGCCATCCAAGAAAATTAGTTTTCCATTTCTTTAGAGTGTGAGCATGATGGGAAGGGAAAAAATGCAGGGTTTTGCCGTGCTTGACCAATATTCTACCTCTGTGTACCACTCAGCTGGGAGTTTCATTTCAATGTCATTTGTTCCAGTCCCTCTAGAAGCAGACCTGGATTCTACATATCTGAATAATCTTGACGTTTGGAAAAGCCAAGTTCAGTACCCAAATTCAACACACAGAGCTTTTTCTCTTTGAAAACACATGAAAACACTGAAAAACTATCTAGATCCACCCCCAATTTGAGTTTCCTGAGGCAAATGAGGTTTTACTGCAACATGGGAATTAGCCTGGGAAATGGGGACAAACTAGTAGACTATTGTAGAAACAATCATGAGTCAGTCTGTGATTCTCAAACAGGGTGTAGGTTTTTCAGGAGTCGGTATTTAGGTGTATCACAGCATAAATCTGGTCAGATCATCTTATTTCTCTCCCTGTATAAAGAGAGGAAAAGAATGGGATTCTCATTTGAATTCTGTTATAAAAGTCCATAGGCTTTGCTGAATTCACATTAGAGCAGCTTCAGATCTGCATCTTTTCAAGTTTATTTCAAATGTCCCCTTTGAGCCTAGAAGTCTGGAGAACTTGGGAGCATTTGATGCAATCTCCAAACAATACAAAGGGGAGCCTGTTCTAATTGAGGCTGTCTCGTTAGCATTCGACACCACATTGAAAAGATGACAAAGGGTCGTGGCTGACCTTTCATTTCTCCCTATGCTGCCAAGCTTATGATAACACTTGTTTGAACTTCATTAACACCGCTTAATTGCTTGCATGGCAATCAATACCATGTTGCTCTACCAAACACTGCCATGGAGGAGGGCATGTGGGAGATAGATAGAAAAGGGACAGAGCACAGGAAGCAGAAACCAAGGAGTGTTTCTGTGGCACACCAGTGCTTGGAATACCTACAGTAAAGTGAAAGGAAGAAGGAGCCTGGGGTCCTTTTGGCTGCCTACTGTGCATAAAGCACATAACCCCTCAAATTAAAGCTGAAATACAGCAGTGACATCAGAAATATTTTTAGGCCTCTAAGAGTCTACCAGAAAAAAAAAAGGCCTGAGACTAAAAGAAATTTTAAAAGACCTGATCTGTGGGTCTCAAAATTATAACAACTGTGATTTTTGATTTTAACCTGAGACTAATAGTCTGAGGTAGTACAGAAACTACCTAAGTTATCTGTTGGGACCCAGAGTCTTGAGTCTCTGATCTCACCTTGCTCTCTTTCCTGAAACTATATCTGCTTGGCATTACTCTTCTAAAGGTCTTAAGCTGGTTAAAAAATGTGAGGGCAGTGTTTCTAGGATATGTAAAATGGACAGTCTATCCCCATTCTGGATCTAATGTACATACTTAGTAGCCTCTGATTTCCAGATTCTGTGTTCAATAGCTTGTTTGGTCTCTTCCAGCCCACACCCATGATATCTGTTGACAATTCTGAAAAACAGACTGATTTAATACAACAAAGATTATATATTTCAAATGCCTTAATGTTGTAAGTTACTGAGTCTTTAAACAAAAACATTGGGCTGGCATTTCAGCTCCATGTGCTTTAAAAGAAAGCCTCAAATAGCAGGTAGAAATCTTGGCTACACTTTAAAAAATGTAATCTTCTGCATCTCCTTTCCCTGCCAGAAAGACAGCTCAAAATATAACATACTGAAGGTCAAGGGTGGAGGATACTGTCAGTAGAGATAACAAAAAACAGTGCTGGAAGGGACCTCTGGAGGTCAACACACCCAGCTCCTGCCTCAGGGCAGGATCAGCCTTGTCTAAAGCCTTCCTGACAGATGCTTGTCTACCCTGCTCTTAAAGGCCTCCCATGCCTGGGCCTCCTACTCACCTCGGGCAATCCCATCCAGTGCTTCCCTGTCCATCCCAATGGAGCATTTTCCCTGATGGCCAACACTGGGTGCAATTATAGCCCATGCCATCTCACTGCATTCTCAGGGGCATTCCCTGCCTCTCTGCCTTATGTTTTTGGCATGCCTGAAGACTGATAGCTTGAGTTTCCTCACTCTCTTCATCTCTAAAAAGCTCCTGTTGTTTCCTCGTAGCAGTAAAACATAACTTGTATACAGTTCAGTTTTCAGTAGGCAGCAGGGAGAAAATGTCTTTACTCAGAAGATAAAACGTAAAACCCACGCGAACTCTGCACTGAGCCAATATTGGCTTGTTTCTTCTCTTAGAGAAGCTACCTGCACTCGTATTCATTCCCCAGCCACTGACTCAGTGCCTCCCACCCATTCTCCATCATTTATTCTGAGACAGAAAGGAGCCAAAAAAATGCCATGCACATGCAAAATAAAATTGGTGCCCTAGAGGATACACACACAGACAGATTCCTTCCCTGGGATGTTTCATGGAGAGTCTCTCCATCTGAAGATTTGACAGGCCTCAAGCTAACTTTGGAAGCGGAACCTTTTGTTTAGCTGTCAATATCTCTGTGCCAAAGTTCAATTACTGTCCAACAGCCTGGCCTTGACCCTCTCTCTAAAACCAGATCAATAGGGAGTAGCAGAGTCTCGCAGCTGCCTGCAGCTGAATCAGCACAGACACAAACTTCTGCAGCTCACACGCCTCCCCACAAACTCAAAATGCCATGTGCTGTCTACACAAAGACCAGCAGCATGTCCTTGAACTGCTTCACTTGTTTCCATAAAAGAACTGGCTTCTAGGATGCTCTCAAGCTCTTCTCCAGCCTTTTCCCATCTAGCTGCCCCCCATATCCCTTTCATACATCCCTCCCTCCTCCAGTGGTGCGGATACAGCCGGCTATTGCATAACACTAATTTCGTTATTGCTGTAATTGCGTCTGCCGTCTGCAGCACATGGATTTGTTACAAGCTTTTCATATGCTAAAATGATTATTAATGAGCGTAGTCCCAACCCAGAGACAGCACAACAACATCCATGACAAAAAAAAATCTTTTGGAAGCCAATTAGCTCCACACTAAGCTGTCTAAACCACAGCAGTGCTGGAAAATTTCAGACTGGAGAGGAAGTGACTGGCAACAGGGCTTTTCTCGTTTCCTTTGATGAGTTAATGAGTTACAGAGTGGCAGCTAGCACAGTCATGCTTGTGAAACAGCTCCAGCGAAGAGCCTTCTCTGGCTGGTACCTACAGCAAGAGCATTTACCCTGCCCCTAGCCTAAACAGAGGGTAAGAAATATTCCTGGGTCATTGTTGCACTGCTTTCCTTAGAGGAAAAGACTTCGCAGGGGAAGAGGAGGATGTGGAAGGAACAAGAACAGTTTTTTCTCGAGGCTAAGAGAGATCATCACTGTGTCTCGATGTGTACAAAATCCCTCCGCATACAAGCGTGGCAGGGGAGGGTCTCATGGGCTCTTCAAGGCAGCCTGGAGTGAGCTTCAGTCCTAATGACACCTGTTAAGTCACCTCCTATGATGCACTCCTCTTCACGTTCTCCGTTGGAGTTGCCCATGTGCCAGAGCGAGGGCCGATGTGGATTCCCTCAAAGTGCTCCAGGGTTTCATTGCTTCTGATGTCTAATGCATGAATTTCCTGCCACATCAGAGAGTGAGCAGCCTCGAGGTACAAATCCAGTCTACCCCTGCGACTCAGGAGAAACTCAAGCCCTTAAGGTAGGATCTTTTGATATGCATCTAAGGATCTCCTGGAAATAGCTGGACAGGGACCCGCTGGAGATGACTTACACCAAAGCACAGAAGAAGGAGCAAACCTTGTTCATCGGGGCAGTGTGGTGCATGCCTGACCAAGCAGTCACTTTCTTATGCTTTGGACCTCAGTCATGAATTCATGGAGGCAGTGAAAATTCTAAGACCTCTGGGGCTTAGTGACAGCTTCTCAGTGGTTTTGAAGACATTAGAGGTATATAAATGACAGATTCTAAATACCTCTGAGGATCTGGGCTTGAATGGAAGGTAAACAGAGACTCAGCGGGGATATTGATTCCTACTAAGATGCCTTAATATACACATTTATAGTTTATTAGATGTGATGATGTATAAATAATAAGTTTTTTGGTCATGGCAGAATTCTGATGGAAAGAGATTATGAGTCTTCTCCCTCTACTAGGAACAAGATTTGATTGTTCGATTTTAGGCACATACTATGCCTCCTATCCTCCTATTCTTCCCACCCAAGTAAATGCTCTGTGTTTTTATTTTATTTTATTTTATTTTATTTTATTTTATTTTATTTTATTTTATTATTTTATTTTATTTTTTCTCACAAACACCTCAAAAATATCTTGGTTTGCAGACTTAGTGAGAAATAATTTCTCAGCTGTGTGATGTGACTGGCTTGATCTTGGGGAGACTGGAGGCCTTTGGGGTGATGATGGGGTGGCTCATGGACCCAGCACAAAGCAATCCGGAGGGAAAAATCCCTGAAATTCAGATCACTGCATCCTCTCTTCCCCTCTAGGGAGCATTTTGTGTTGCTTTTCATTCTTTTGCTGTCTAGCTGAGTCATGCCAGTTTTGTGATGCTGGGAAAAACATCTCTCTGCAGGGCTGGAGAAAGAATGGGAGCCTTTCAGACCCTTATTTGTTGCAGACTCAGGGGAGTGTTAAGGGAGACAGGAGAAACTTGGAGAAGCAGATGGTGTGTGCCTCTGTGCTCCACTTTTCCGAAGGGCCTCATCCCAGCACCCAGTATCACACCACCTTTGGATGACAAACTGAACTAGAGAGAAAAAGGAGGATTTCAACTAGTTGTCAGAGCCAAACTGTCGAGCACAGTGCAGTGCTGCTGCTTTGCTCCGCCGGCCTCATTTACTCTTGCTGTGATGTAATGCCCTTCACTTTTCATTTCATCCAGCAGGAGGATGCCCATGCAATATTCATAAGGAGCCAGGCTCCCCTCCATGGGCTCTTCCTAGGCATCATAAATCAATGTATTTCATGGCACTGCAGGCTCTTTTTCCCTACAAGTCTATGAACCGTGCTGGCTGCGCAAAGATGCGCTTTCACTTGGGTGTCAAAGCATGCCCTGGGAATGTGTTCCAGCAAAAAGGAGCCTGAAATAGCACTTCCAGGGATGCTCCCAGCACCTCACAGTATCTCTTGTCATAATGCAGATGTGGCAGATGTCCTATTTCATCTGTGGCAAGAGGCACTGGATTTTGCTGGGAGTGGAAAAGCTCTAGAAATGTCTTCTCTTTTTGTGTGTGTGCTGATCACTAATTTCTCCTGGAGGCAGCTCTGCAGGACACGTCCTCATAGGTCATCCCTGACTTCCTTCAGAGCCTGCTGATCAGCATGTAAAGAGAAATCAGGATGAAATCAAGTCCAGACCACTCATTGATGGAGGACTGGCATAGGGCAATAGATGGACCATGGGACAGAGACTGGCAATATTGCCTCTTTCTGTCCCCATAAGACAAGATGCTTCCTGGCTCCATTTCTCTACCCAAGAGATATCAGGGAATATCAATTTCTCCCCTGAAAAAACAAGGCAGTATGTGAGACCCAGTCATTACAATAAATAGGGGAGCCACAAAACCAGACTGAGGCAATACTAGGGCTTTCTGGTGTGCGTAGTCTTTCACTGCGTAGTCTTTCAAAGGAGGCTGAGGCAGCTGCTTGTCCCACTCTGTCATAGAAAGTATTTTCCCACTTGTCTCTCTGAAGGATCCTTATTGCACAGCACTCCAGTGCCCAATTTCTCTGCTGTGGAAGACAGCCTCCTGCTCAGCAGGTGTCTTGATGCTGTTTACAGGACACCTGTCAGCTCTTTCATCTCCCTGTCCCCTCTGCCTCCTAATTATAAAATTGTGGATCACTGCAGCTATGGACTTTTTTTTTTCCTTCCTTGTGCACAAAATGTCAAATTGCAGAAATTAAAAATGTAAATGATGGTGTCTAATTAACCAGTTGACAGCAGAGCACAGCTGCGAGTGACAGTGACTGATTACCTTCCACAAACCTTGTCCTCCAAGACCTGCTTTACCCATGGGACGAAGGACAGAGAAAATAGCAACTTCCTTAAAGAAATATTGCTCTGTTACTGCAGTCTGATACATGAGCAATGGCTATAGGATCTCCATGCCCTATGGATAAAATCCCAGTGTTCTTGAATTCAAGGAGAAAGAAAGACTTTGACTCCTAAGGGAGACTAATGTTCCCCGGACAGAGTGGAGTTAAAGACGTTAAAACTTCTTGCCTTGAACTGTGATAGCAGATGAGCTTAACTTTTGAGGTAAAACCAAAGTGCAGAGAAGCAGAGAAGTCCCTGGAAGACACTGGATAGTATGAGGTGGATAATGTTAGTCATGGATGCAGATGAACAAGTGTGAGTAGCATAGGCAGACAACCAAAGGGATTTTGGTGCAGGAGCTCTCAGTGGGTAGGGAGCTCAATGTGACTTCTCTGCAGAACTGAGGGCAATGGTCAAAGACCTTGAACATTGATGAAGGAATCCAGCAGCGACAGGTATGGCCTACTTCTTTGGTGGCATGTAGAAAGTTTACACTGCTCTTTGGGGTTTCAGGCTCAGAATAGGGTTGAATGATTACAACACAAATCTGGCATTCAGGAACTAGTAGTTCATCTCTAAGTTCTGCTTTTGGCTAAGTCACTTCTTTTCTATAAAAGAAGAGCATGACCAGCTATTTTATTCATGCACAGGAAAAGCCTGAAAGACACTGAGAAATTTGTTTTTCCTCTTTGTGGTGTTTGCTTTCAACTCATGGCTACCTACTCTCTCCAACCCAAGAAACGCTTGCAATCCTCTCTTGCAGGTACTACTCTGACATCGCCAAAATGCCAGCGATCAGTGACCAGGACATGAATGCATATTTGGCTGAGCAGTCTCGCATGCACATGAATGAGTTCAACACTATGAGTGCACTCTCAGAGATATATTCCTATGTTGGCAAGTACAGCGAGGAGGTAAGAGCCTTGAAGCAGGGCAAAGTAGTTCTGCAGAGCTCATGCATTTTCAGCATGTGTCACAGTTCTCTGTCTTTATCCTGACTAATGATCTGATGGATTTAAGGAATAGAAAGCAAGGGTAGGTACCTGAAAGTGGGCACACAGAGATTTTGTGATTTTTACATCTTATGTGATGGAAAGCAAATATAAGCATGAGCTTTGCTTTAAAAGCAACGTATAGAGACGAACAGAAGCTGGTTGCAATTCTGTGAGGGCCCAGGTGACCACTGGGAGATGTTGTCCAGGGAGGAGAAGCTTAGGAAACTTTGTCTTTTGAATCCATAAAGTCAGTCAGAAAATCACAGTTGCTAGGTAAGAGAAGTCATGGCTGGCTCTGATATTCTGCCTTTTATCTACTGATAGACTCCACAAATAAGGAATTCTTAGATGGTTTGAAGCGGTCTGTGGAGATGCTATTCTTTCTTTATGACCTAAAAGGGAAGGTTAGAAACCTCAGCTGGAGGTTTCTATGTAGACTACAGGTATATTTACATCTTCTAACTTACATATTTAAATTGAAGATAGTTGCATCTTAGCCTGAGTCTAGGTACCCATTATGCGCAGTGTAGACCTGGGACAGTATTCAATTATTTAAATATATGTTTCTGGGACCATTTTAGATGCTCTAAAGCATCTAAGAAGACCCTAGCCAGTATGATACAGGAATTAAAGGTCACCTGCACGGTTCTGGATGCTGAAGACCAGATGAGATACCCTAGGCTCTCAAGTGTCATAGTCATCTGGATATAGGCATTGAGTCAAGGAAGCCACCAAATGATTGGATGCTGAAGATGAGTATCCATTCTATCATTTCCAGTATAAAAATCTGCATTTAGTCAAATCAACCCCAAACTGCCTTCTCAGTTCTCTGCTGGCCAACCTGCTTTGCATGATGCAAGCTCACCTCAGGGACAGCTGACTCTGATCCATTGCTGTAGGATAGTGGGTTTGTTCCTTCTGGGGAAAAAAAAAAAAAAAGTCACATAAATTCTTACTCTCTCTTTTTGCAGATTCTCAGCGCACTTGATCAAGATGACCAGGCTGGGAAACAGAAACTTGCCTACAAACTTGAACAAGTCATAACCCTCATGAGCATAGACAGCTGAGAACTGTCCTGCCAGGGAAACCCTGGGAGGGATAAACCAAGTCGTGCCTCAGTCAAGATCATCATCTTTACCAAGTGCAAGTTTTGATTGGCTGGAAGCAGTCACTGAACAGCTCTCGCTCTTCTCTTTCTCTCTCTCACTTATTTCTCTTTCAAAAAAAATCTATGGACAAAGTGACAAAGCCCCAGGGGTGAAAAGGAAAAGACTGCAGAGGAATCTCGGCTCTGGGGACAAGAAGACATTCAGGTGGAGCTCTTCTTTTTACAGCTTCCCTTCTGCCCTTGATCTAAAGAAAAACTCTTAAACAAACAAAAACCTCCCCCAGCAGCGTCTCATCAGTCTGCAAATGGAAAATCGGGAGGTCACCTCTGTCATGCTGCTTTAACTGTCCCCCTAGGGCTGTAGCCTCTGGAGTGGACATGGAAATGAACTCAGTATTACAAAAAAAAATCTCACTGAGGGGAACGCAGCCTGCCTGCAGGGATCCTGAAGGACAGGAGCAAATGGAGATCCTCTCCAACAGAGCCATTTAAACTCTATCTCTTGGTAGCAACCCACTGGGAGAGGAATTCAAACCTCCCTGGAAAAAAACGCCACCGCTCAGTTCAGAGTGGGACCATTGTGGCTCTTTTCTGCCTGGGGAAACAGCAGTGTGGAGCTGCTCTCTTAGGCCAGGGGAAGGGTCAAGAGGGGAGGAGAAGACCGATGCTCCCCTGCCCACATTTCATACGATTATTCTTATTTTTCAAGGTAACCTGTGTCCCCCCTCCATCTTTCCCATTGTGTCCTGTTGGTCGTAGCACTGCGACAAAAAAAAAAAAAAAAAAAAAAAAAAAAAAGCTCTTTCTGCTCAGTGGCATTCAGTTGGTGGTGATTCTGTTCCTTCTGGCAATGGACAGTGCAGCGTCTCCCTCATCTCCCACCTCAGCTTGGAAAGCAAAAGACATAAGTCTCAAATTGTTCCAGAAGAGGTGCTTGGCCTCAAAAACCAACCAGAGTAATTTTTATTTAAAGTTGTCTGTTCTTTCCCTTTTGTTTCCCAAATGGAAACACTATTAGTGTTTTCTTCGTGGTGGAATATCGGAAGCATACTGAAGGGCTTGCTATGAAGCAAAGTGATGTGTAGAACTAATTGTAGAAGCTTCCTTCAAAACCACCATTAAGAGGAAATGCCACGCATTTTTGGAAGGAAATCTGGGAGGAAACACAAATGAAATACCCCTCAGCTGCCATTTGGTGCCAACTTCTGGACCTTCCTTTTATCCATTTCTGGAACCAAACGGTCTTGCTGAAGGCACAGCTGGTGCTTGGGAAAGATTTGTCACCTCTTTGCACTTCAGAGATCACTGTCATCACAGAACAAGGATGGGTGGTTACGCCTTCTTTCCTCTGCTCAGCTCCTCCAGAGTAACTCCATCTCAATCTACTTCATAGCCAACAGAGCACAAGTTGGCTATGTTGCCTCTCTTCTGCATTTGGCTGGGTTATTTTTCATACAGTTGTCAGTGTGGCTCAGTGTCATGGGAGCGGAAACCCTGGAGAGCCACGAGGGATGTGGACAACCTCGCTCCTGGTACATGAACATGCATCCGTTTCACCAAGAATGAAGACTGCTCTCTAGCAGATGCAAGCGTGGTTTGGTGCTGTGAAGAACCAGCCTTTATCTGTCTTGTGCCATGCTCAGGAAGACAGCCGGGATCTTCTTTGCAGCTGGAGGGTGGTGAGGTGCAAACAGAGGATGTAAATTGATTATGGAGTGAGTTCATTTAGTTTCACTCGTGCATCTTGCTAACAAACCAAGCTGCACAGTGGATCAGTAGTGGATGTGCTGAGGAACGTGGTGCAAGCAGGAGTCAGTTAGGAAATGGATTTCATTCAGCCAAGCACATAAACATATAGAGAAGGTCTTTCCAAACCCACTTAAACAACAACAGTCCAAAATTGGGTGTTGGCAGTGGGGGGAGAATGTCACAAGATTCATATTGAAACAGTAAACTTAGGGACACGTCTTGGTTTTAAAACCCCAGACATTTCTCTCTTGATTATAATTATTATTATTTTGTGTGTGCGTGTGCGTATGTGCGTGTGCGTATCTGTGTGTGTGTGTGTGTCATTTCCTTTTTTAATTTTGCTTGCTTTCTGTTTGATTGCTGAGCTGATGGACTTATCATGCACCTTATGGACATCTCAGCATCTTTGAGAGGCCTGCGCACTGGGGCTGGTTTGGGTTCAGTTGGTTCTGCCACAGTTTTGTTGATCCGTTTAATGGTGTTGGCGCATGTTCCAGATCCATTGCTTATGGCTGTGAAAGTGGGGTGGAAATCCCACCAGAGCCAGCGACTAATGAAAATTACAACAACGCAAACACAATATTTTTTATAAGTACATAAAAGGAAAATTAAAAAAAAAAAAGAAAGAAACCAAAGGTTTTGACAAACAAAGTGCCACAAATGATAAATATGGACCCTATTGTCATGCCTTGTACACACAGCTGGATGGTAGGAGTCTAAGGGCAAATAGCTGGCTTGGAGGGGAAGTGGTTATGAGTGATGGGCTACACTGCCTGGACATGTGCACGTGAAAGAAGGAAGAAGCTGTTAATAAAAAAAAAAAAGAAAAAAAGAAAAAAAAAAAAGGAAGGTATCAAAGTGAACTGATATAATCCTGCATGGTTACAGATGTCAGAGGAACACTACAGGGGAAACCTGAGACTCACCCTACTTATTTTTAATGTTTTCAGGGCTGTTTTTTTTAATGATGATGATGATTGTTTTCCATTGTTAGTATTTTATTTCTTCTTGCTGGTACGGAGTTTTGCAACTGTAAAATATATATATATATATATTTCAAGAAAAACTTGAACACCTCAGAGACACTGAGAATGAAACACTTACGGGAAATGGGAAGCACCATGAGATGGGTATCTTGTCCCTTCCCAAGTTCCCATTTAGGCATTTCCTTTTTCTCCCCACCTTCTTCTCTCCCCTGTCCCCTGGGTTTGAAAGAAAATCTGTGCTTTGATTCTCTTTCTTCTCCTCTGTTTCCTCTGTTCTTTTTTTCTTTTCTTTCTTTCATTTTTTTGGTGTTTGAGCTGATTTTGTTTTGTTTTGTTTTGACTGGAAAATGTGCCAGAATTGTGATGTAAATGTGTAGGCTTCCTGCCCTGACTCCTTCAGTGCCCTGCCCATTCCAGATGTTGTCCCAGCCCCCCTAGTCTATGAGACGTCCTGGCATCTTTCTTCTCAGCCTCACCTGTGGAGCTAATTATTTTTGTAAGTGCATGTAAAATACAATTAAAAAACAAAGACACAAGCAGGAGAAGGATAAACCCTGCTATAACATGGGTGAATTCTTTTCTCCCTTCCTTTGCCTTGTTTACCCCCCGTCCTCTATTTTCCATGCCTAACCAGAAGTGCCCGATGTAAGTGGTATTTCACACCATTTCTCAAACTATGAAGATAAAACTGGAGCCAAAGTTCCTAGAAGTCAATGGACAAACTCCTAACACTCGTAATATGCCAGATGATATGCTAATTTTTATTGGTATTTCTTAAGAACTGTGGTCAAGATAAGGACAGCTGACACTCACAGCACCATCAGGAATGGGGAAAGGGAACCCTTGAAGACCATGCTCTCACCTGCTGTCACAGACTGAGCTTTCTAGTAAAAGGAGTTATGAGAAAAGCTGGATTTTGAGAAGGTGCTATAAATTCATAATACTTGAACAGGCAGCTCACTAGAGTTATAGGAAAAGGAAAAATACACAACCTAAGGGCATTGCTGTCACCCAACATGCTTCATGTAATCCTTCTCTTCCCCCTCCTAGTCCTGTCCCAAAGATATTTGAAGGTTTGATCCAATCTAGCATACACCAGCCTAGCCCAGTTGGTGTAACAGGACTATACCAGTTTTCACCAGCTGTCTCTTCACCACTGCAGTTGTCTTATATAACTTCCTCACTGGAACCAGTCAATCCTGCACCACAAAAAATGTTAAGACCTAATGAAAATTTACTAGCAGATATTTGGTGAATGTTTAAATTGAAAGATCATTGCCAAAATTGGCAGACCTTATATCTGTGCATCAAAATTGTCAGATCTTATGTACAAGCCCACAAGGAAATTATTACCATGAGGGGAAAGTGACCAAATAAATCGTATTGCTGCCATTAATATTATTATTATAAATATATAGCTATTATATATAACAGTGGTATTACTGACAACTAATATATGGTGTTCTAAAAATTCATTAACCACTCTCACTGTGCAGTTAGTCAACACAAACATTACACAGCAACCCAAGCAACGAACAGCCACTACAATGAAGAAAATAGCTCAAGAGTAAGCCAAAATGCACAAGGTACATTTGCCCTTTGACTTTAGTGAAGGGCTGGCATTTTCCAGCCAGACTCTTCCAAAGGAAGCCTGGAAAGACTGAATCCCATGGCTCCTTTCAGTGGGGTATAGGAAGCTTCATGAAGCAACTTCAAGCCCAGGGGACATCTGCCATCAAAAGGAGTCTGGGGTGGTGGAGATGACCTGGGCTCCTCTTCTACATTGCCAAGGCATCCCTAGAATGAGTCACGCTTCACCTTTCCCAGCAGTCTGTAGAATAACTATTCAAAGCAGCTGCCTCTTACATTCTGGAGAGCTTCCTCAGTACTGCAAAAGCAGTGAGAGAAGAATAAAACTTGCCTTGTTTACCAAAATCCTATGGCAGCTTCTAGTGTGCTAGAGGTAATATTCTCCACAGAAGTCTGGTGCTTTCAGGGTCCACTGATGGTGGTAGGAGATGCCACATCCACAAAAGCCCTTGTCTGTAATCCTGCCAGTCCCAACAAGGCATTTTTGGTCCTTCTCCTCAGTTTAGCATGTGGCTGAAGAAGTCAGAGAGAGGGCACTGGATAGAAATGTGCATATGGGTCCCACCAGGTTTGTGTTGGTTTTGTTTTTTCTCACCAAGAATTGCATTCAGGAGACCCCAGTCTGCATTCTTCCTGGACACGAAAGAGCAAAACAGCTCTCAGAGAAGTACTATCCTCTGAACTCCCCTGGGCCTTTGGCAGCATCTTTTCCTGGGATGACCAGGGCGGGACAGGAAATGTTCCTCCACCTCCAAGTTAGAAAATTGCAATCATTTATAAATTACTTCTGATGTTGACAGAACCTCACCTTGACAGCTGTTGGATAGAGAAGAACTTGGTGATGCCAGTACAAATTGCTCCATGCCTCTGATGTGTAATAGGAGTTTTGTCCTCCGAGGTCTGGGACTGTCCTAGCTCCTGTGGTCCTACCTACCTTGGTCTGTTGGAGAGCAGGCCTTTTCCTAAAACTGATGAAGTGAGTGAGCATGGTACGAATCTCAGCCTCCTGACCATTCTCAGTCTGAGTTTTTCCTCTTTGCTCCCAGTGCCATCTTCATTGCTGAATGTCACTGGGTCCTTGCAGCCTTGCAGTTTTTCCCCACCATTGCCATTGTGCAATGTCCCTTCCCCCTGCAAAGTTGTGTTCTGTCTAACAGGGGACAACCACTGTGCAGAGGACTCTCTCAGACTGGAGCTGCCCAGCCATAGGACAGCTCAGTTCTCTGCACTGCTAGAGAAGTACTCAAGGGGGCACAGCCTTACAAGGAACTAATTTCCAGAAGGATGTCAAAAAAGAAAAAAAAAAAAGAAAAGAAAAAAAACTTTGTAAGGATATAAAGCTGCTTAGTCTAATCAACTAGTGATGTGTGTGTTTTCTGTTGTTGTCGTTGTCGTCGTTTGTTCACTGGTGGTTTTTTTCCCCTTCTTTTTTTCTTTTTT